GAAGTCTAAAGACATTACACATGTTTACAACTTGGAAAACAACTTTTAAAATGACACCTTTTCTAGCCCAAGGAACAAATTCAATGGCTACAGCAATTCCAATTCAGGGCATGTAGTTGAGCAACTGTTATTTTTAAAAAGAAGCTCTTCTCATTCCAGTGGATTCATTCATAGATGACCAAAACTGGAAAAAAAAAAGGAAGATTGAGGCAAGCACTTCTATTGCCTTTATAGATGAATATCTTTTAAATGTGATCCAAAACACATGCTAGAAATTTTCAAATCCAAAGTGACTCTGCAGCAAGTGAGATACCTTTATGAGGAGCCTTGTGATATTTTTAATTACAGAAAGTTCAAAGAAACCTGTGTCTGATCGATGCAGTGTGGCGGATTTCGCAAGCAATCTGCTCTTCTGAGACACGGCCTGACAGTCAGCACTAAATCTAGTTCTGGGGTTCAGTTTCCTATGTTCTGCTTCAGCCTCTGGAGCTTTCACACCAGACACACATTCCACATGCAATTAACTAATGGAGAGTGAGTTGTCGTATGTGACATTTAATTTTCAATAGCTGGGGAAAGTTACACAGGAGCTGCAGGCAAAGTCATTAATCTCCCCTGAATCCTCTGCACTGCCAAGTACAGCAACTCATTCTTCATTGCTCTAACTCAGCTCTTCCATTATATTTGTGTATACTGTGCCTCAAAGACAGATGTGTGAGTATAAACACACACAAATGTGTTTATACATCAATTATAATATGTAGTTATGAATAAATTATATAAATTATAGGATATGCCACACAAATATATATGGGTTAGAAGTCCATGTAATCAATTGGTATGGGCATAATTAAACGAGGCAAGCCACAACTAGACTAGACACATTTGTCCTAAATTAATCATTCCTGAGTATTAAAGTGTATACAGCCAGAACTGTGTGCAAGAGACAGTCCTCACTCTAATGATACCTCCTCCCCGCAAATTATAACAATGGCAGCTCTAATTAGGCTGGGACTATGGTGGAGGAAGTTAGGATGTCTTAATACATTTACAGCCAGAATAATATACAGAGTTTTCCTGCTTAGAATTGAAGTATATCTGGTCAGAAGTTTTCCAGTGGAACATTTTTCTGTCAGAGAATGTTGATTTGGCAAAAATCAAAAGGTTCCACAAGAATGTGTTGATTTTGATAAATCTTTTGAGGGAAACCAGGCAAGTTTCACTGGTTTCCTGACAGCTTCTTCGCACACCTCCCCAGTTCCTTGGCAACATGGGCTCACTGGCTGCTGCAGAGCTGGAAAGGCTGGAGAGCTGGGACCGGAAATTTTTGAAAAACTCCATCTCGGTCCCTCCCAGTGAAAATCTCACATCTCTCACTGTTTGGTCTGATTTGGAATCTCCCCCAGCCACCTCTCCAAAATGAAAGCGTTTTTGCAGGACAGAAATTTCAGTTCCTGAGCAGATCTAAACATAAGAAATACACCCATCTTTGATCCCTAGGAACTGAAAGATACATATAATGGTCCTTGGTGCATTGCAGTATCTCATTCCCTCCCCCACATAGCCACCACAAAGGTGGCCTTATTCCCTCCTTGAGTCCAATTTGCTGCATACCTCTTTAAAAATGAGCCTGTCCCCAGCTTTCTAGCCCCATCAAAAGCCACTCAGAAGAAATCACTTCCCACATCAAGCAAGAAGCCTCATACTCCCACCTGCCTACTCTCCCCAAGGGGCTCTCTCTTCAAGACTGAACTTTTCTGGGTTCCATGAAAAGTTCTCTTTATTTCTAACAGTGAAGTCAGCTGCCTAACCCGTTCTGAGAGCTGGTTGGAACTCATCGCAGACAGCCTAACCTGGCCTTTCCTTCCAGTGGCCAAATCCATCCTCCTCCAGCATCCCTTTGTGGCCTATATATATAAACCCTAGAAATTAGCCATTCTGCATGGGAACTGCTTAGTTTTCTATGGGTTTGTAGCAGGCCAAGTAAAACCAAGGAGTCCTACAGAAGCTACAAGGAGTGATTTCAAGAGAAAGAGCATTTCCCTCTATTCGGCATTGGTGAGGCCTCATCTGGAGTACTGCGTCCAGTTTTGGGCCCCACACTACAAGAAGAATGTGGAAAAACTGGAAAGAGTCCAGCAGAGAGCAA